AAAGTTGCGTAAGTCTTCGCATGCATTTGAAGATCTGTCTGTTCAGTTGCCTGTATGCTGTCAAATCTGTTGACGATTGCAGCCTCATCTCCCGTCTAACAGCCATGAGATTAAGAGGGTGATCGGAGAGTTTTTGTGTTCTTCTGCGGCGGGTCTTGCAGAACTTAGCTCCGACCGCATGGACAGTTTCCACGAGCTTGTCATTCATATCGTCCACTGCATTGCAATCTTCTAAGCACTGAAAGCGGTTACGTAACTCGAGCTGAAAAGTCTCGGGATTCTGGATTAGAGCACGAGGGGGACGGATACTTTTAGTGCTGCCTAGTAAACGTATAGCGGGTAAAGTAGTGCGGTGCAACATGAACGTTCTGTGTTCGTGGTTAAAATAATTCTCTTCATATTTATATACTTTTATATTGAAACTAGTATTATACGTGGTAGCACCATGCTGCAGTTATATTAGTAGTATAGTTGTAGCACGAATGGGTCGGCTCGACCGGGGAAGGACCACGCTCTCACAGAATACCAGCGTAAAATATAGCTTAAGACGACACATCGGAAACGCTATCGCCGTACTGATCCGAGTGAATACATAATTTCTATAAAAACTTGAAGAAACGCCGTCATAAGGTCTAAAATTGCGTAGCGCCCGCGACGATTAAAAGCGCTTAGAAATTGTCAGAATCTTAAAATATTTTTTAAAAAATTATTGATTTAAGTTATCAAAATAATGAGCAAGTAAATTATGAATATTGATGTTATGAATATATTTGAGTGATTCCCAAGCATATAGATCAAATGATTTCGTTGTAATTTCAACTATAGTGATTTTTTATGGGTGTTTTCGCAAATAATTATGATCGAGTCAAAATTATACAATCGTGTTTTTGAGGAATCAAATTCAAGATAAAGACATTAATTTACCTATATCAAAATCCCACTTTCGTTAGTGGTGTCATAGTCCTATACTATTCGATGAAAGGAGGTGCAATTTTTCACGGTGTCGCCTTAATACTGCTATGTTTCATATGTTGAATATAGAGAACCGAAGACCCTTTTTACTGGAAACGAGGCATTCCATCTTAGTCCTCACGGGTGACAATGCATCTGCATTTTGATTCGTAATCAAGTATAGATGTATGTTGGCGACGCGCCTATAAGAATATTTCAGTTTATTAAGTCAACCGATGACGAATAGCTTCTAAAAGGCAAATTGTCCAATAGCAATGTTCTAATAAGAAAATGCTTAGTTAAATCTTAAAGAATGTCGAATTAATGATATGAAGGTCTTGAGTTCGACTCCCAGGAAGGACTAGTTTATTGTTTTCTTAAGTAATATCTCTTTATAAATTCATATAGGGAATTTTAAGATATAAATTATGCTACCGGATTTGTTCCCCGGTTGAAATCATCTTTCTAATGATGTAAATTCAAAGGAATATTAAAGTGAAGTTAGAGATCGGATTTGTTCCCCGGTCGAGATGATCACTCTGTGCATAAATAGAATTAACGGAAATTAATTGCATAAGTATTGCCTTATATGAGTTTGATATGTTTTGTATGAAAATAAATGCCTATTTGCTATGATTGATTTATGAGAACATTCACTTATATTGTTATCTGATAAGAAACATGATAACTGATAAGAATTTGATTAGAAATAGTTTCCTACAGTTTGAAAATTGTGTAGAAGCATTTATTCACCTAATACTGTCGATATTGGTGTATATTAGACTTTTCATTTTTTTCTGATAGTCGAGAGCCGTGCAAAGTTAGTTGTTCAAATAGTGTGAGTTCATAGACGCACGCTAGCCACGTACTTAGGAGGCCAAATATGTAAAAATTTAAATATTTGTAATTTCAGCAATTTATGTAAAAATAACTTGTGAAACATTTCAGATTGATTGTACGTGCAAAAGAGGTGAATTCTGTGTTATTTTTATGTGAAAATTCCTGTGTATAAGTGAAATAATGATAGTTTTGTATAAGAAATTTAAAAGTGTTTTAATAGTGAAATGAATAGAGAAAATGTAAATTAAACTGTTGTATTGGTTAACTTATGTACAATTTCAAGTGGAAAACATTGTTTTAACTTTCTATGTTAAATATTTAAGAAATTTCGACTTTGAACTTGTGAGTAAAATAGGCATATTTTGTTAAATAAATAAAAGGTTTTTTTGTGATATGAAAATGTAATGTATATCGTAGTGTAGATATTGTTTTGTGCTATCTATACAGGTAAATTATGTTGATGTATGACTTATGCAAATAAAGTAATTAAGTAAAACGTGAGAGAGTAATAGAACAAATTCATGTAATTGAGTTGCGCAAGCGCGCGAATGGCGCGGCTCACTTTCGCGTATAGCTCTGGGGTAGCTCAGTAAATGAGTTTTATTGCAATTCGTTCGGGAATCTTTCGGTAAAGTTCGGAAAAGGTGCAAGACCAGCAGTCAATAAGAAGAAGAAAGAAAAAGTGTAGGGAAGTGATAGGGAAAAGTAATTACTCTCTCACGGAACGGTTTGAAGATAATTGTTGTTTTATTCCCAAGAAATTCATCCCTCAAAATTATACAGTCCACATCGAAGAATTAAGGCGTTGGGACCGGGACGACTTCGGAAGACCCGTAATCCCCGTCTGAACCTATTTGCTGAAAAGGAAGAGGTTATCGCCCTTGTGTGTTACTCCGTTGCGGAGATCACATACGTTGTTCCCGAACCCAACGTAGGCGTTATAGGAGGCCGGATCGAGAGAAGCCTCGATTCCTCCCTTCTGTTTCTTAGTTGAACGTTTATACAACCATTTGGTTCCTTTTCAATGTATATGCCTATGGTCCACAGGAACCACTTACCTTTAGGTGTACTATGTGCTCGTTTGTTATGCTATCCTATAAAAAAAGTAGATATTTTTTTCTTAAAAAGAGAATTGTAATATTCTTTAGGGAAATAAATGTCTTAAACCATATTTGAGTCGTCTAGTTTCAAATCCCGCTAAAACACTTTTATTTAAAATTTTAGCGTAGTAGGTATGACATTTGAAAGTACTCTTAGAGTAGTACCTATCAAACTCCGCCATAGGCGGATTTAAAATACATTACAAATACATTTTAATTACAGTGTTCGGTGCAAAGTACTCTAAAATAAAGTGTGTTTCAAATTCCTCCATAACAAATCCAACCAATGGCAGTCCAAATTAGTAGGTATAGTATGGCCGATTCCGTTACCTGTGAGTTTTGTTGCTGTGGTTTTTTATTGTTTTTGTGCGTAAAAATGGAGGATTTACAACAGTTTATAAAAAAATCGGAGCCCAGTAAAGCACGCAAGAGATTAGTTGGTAAATCAAAGTGGAAACGTGAAGTATTGCGTGAAAAAAGGTTGGTTAGTTTCTTCTACTAAACAGTCGACTGCTATTTGCCATGCAAAACAGGACCATGAAAATAGTTCAACACGCTTTGGCGCAAAAATTCAAATTTGAATTTTTTTCTTGCTAAATTGAGTACCTAACTAATATAAATTTCCCTAAAATAAAACATTGTTCTTTATATTATCACTCAACAGTCTGCCGATTTTATACGAATATGTTGTGTGTAATTATACCTATTCCTATGAAATCGACGGCATTTACATTAATGATTGTTACAAGCGATATAAAAATATTATTTCATTTTCGAGAAATCATAAGGTTATATCATAAGTTGTTATTCGGTTTAACTGCAAAAAGCCTGTTCAAAAACGTAATACTAATATTATATAATATACTAATAATAAGTATGCTTATCTTAGGTATAGAAAAATTAACGTTGGTTTGATTGTTTACTCGTTACTGATGCATGGAATAGGACGAAATTTGGCAAACAGGTAGACCATGACCTGGAAAAGGACATAGATAGGATATGGTAGGGTAGGGTAGGGAGGTAGTGTAGGTACGTCAAGTGGTAGAAACTTCTTGGTCAGCTAGTGTTTTATAAAACAAGTATACTATACAGTGAAATCTAACAGTGAAAATTCAAATGAGACTTATTTTTGTTGTAGATACAAGCCAAATACGCTTCCAGCATTCCCATCATGTGGACACAGTCGCAAGGCATTTCAGTGCGCTACTTTAGCATGCACCAATCATTTTACAAACATCCGACAAAGATTTTGCACGATAATTTTATAATAAAACACTGTACTATCACAACATCTAAAATTACAAAAGTTGGTAGCAAGCGAAATTATTCGTTAAAATATTTCATTCGTAACAAGAGCGGCAAAATGATCCCTGTTTGTCAAAAAACATTTACTAATGTATTGTGTGTAAGGAAAGACCGTATACAGGGAGTGATGCGAAGATTTTATGAAAAGGGGGAGATGGCAAAAGAGCGCAGGGGTGGAGACCGAAAAAGTCAGAAGTTTGAAGAGAAAAGAAAAGCGGTACAATCCTTTATATAAAGTAAATGAAAGCCACTACTGCAGGTCAAAAAATATAAAAAGATTGTATTTGCCCCCAAAAGGCGTATGTATAACAACGACCATCCTTGCTTAGAAGTAAAAAAGCATATTTTTAGAAATATATTTATTGTTGTTATAACATTGGTTTTGGCACACCTAGGCCTGATGTTTGTTCGACATGTCTTCTGTTAGATGGGAACATAAAAAAAAGAAATAATTGAAAAAAGAGTCCACCATTTGAGGTTAGCAAAGAAGTGATCTTCTAACATTAAGCTTCGACTGTCAAATAATTTAGGGCTACCTAAAGTGCCAGATCAGTCCGCCTACTATAGCCGCCAATAAATTTCTACAACTTCACTATAGTAGTTGGTAACTCTAAGGCAAAATTGACCAAGGAAATCATATTTGCGAATACCTGGAATGAAACCATATACAACAAAGGTAGTAATAAAATCATTTCAGCAGTTCATCACTTTTTAACTAATGTAGATATTAAAGAAGAAAACAAAGTCATAAGAATAGTAGCAGATGGCTGTTCTGGGCAAAATAAAAATTCCGGCATGGTAGCCATGCTTGGAAAGTGGTTGACAACAGAAGCACCCAGACACATCAAAAGGGTAGAAATAGTTTTTCCTGTTGTAGGGCACTCCTTTATTCCACCCGACCGCGTGTTTGCTCAAATAGAGAAAGATTTGAAAAAGCGTGAAGTCATTTCGTCACCTGAACAATATCAAGAAATCATAACTCAATATTGTAAAATGACTGCTCTAGATACAATTGCAGTACGAGATTGGAAATCGGCCTACGCACCAATTATCAAACCAACGACTAGCTGGCACGTACAGTTCCAAAACTGCAAAAGGTTTTTCTTGACACGTTCCAAAACAAATAATTTATTGCTGCAAGGAGAACAGTCATATAAAATTGAAATTAATGTAAAGAAGCCGATAACAAAGAAAAATAAAAGCATCACTATGTTGACTCCAGTTGTTATTCCAGCAAACCAGTTGATTCCAAAGAAAGCAAAGATCACCGATGTTTCAACTCTATTGAAAAAACATTATGGAGAGCAATGGAGACATTAAAACATTAGAGTTTTATAAAACAGTGGAAGGCAGAACGTGTTATGAGCAAGGAGATATTGACGAGGATACAGCAGAGATACCAAGCGACCTTTGTGAAGACGGCTTTGAGGATGTACCTACCTATGCAACCTAATAGTATGATTTAAGTTTTTGTATTTACCTGATTTCAAATGTAGAACAACTAACTAGTTCATTTTCAAATTATATTTTTATGTAAAATTGCTCTTCTGCATTTTTATTTACTTACTGACCAGTTGTTGTTGCGTAACATTGACCATCACTATAGAATGACATAAGTTTCAGATCTCGCTATTTTCTAAAGCTCAGTTGCAAATGTCCCTATAACACTTAGTAAGTTTCAATATCCACCATATTTAAAATCATAACCTGTTTTTAGCTAGTTTTTGGTAGTAATATATCTGGTAAACATCGTCCAATCAAAATTTTCTTTGAATCTCAAGACATCGCTAAATCCATATTAAAGAACAAGAAAAAGTTAAATGACGATAAAATTAGGATATATTCAGACCAAACACCACAACAAAAATTATACTTAAAGGAGCTTACTCAAGAGTTAAATGATAGAATAACAAAGGGAGAGGAAAATATTTCAATAAAATATTCAAAAAGTGTGCCAAAAATAGTAAAAAGTTTCACAAAAAAAAACTCAAAACAATAGAAAATTCATCACACAAATCATAAAGAAGAGGATAACAAAGTAAACACTTACCGACTAAGTAGTTGACGACTACAAACATATTATCTCATAATGATTTCTAAAATTTACGCGAACACTACACATTGAATAAAACTATTATTTACGGATTTTATCGCGTTAAAATCCCTAAATAATGATTAAACAAAAAAATATATAATATACCAACAGGAAAGTAAATAATGCATACTAAAAATGTTTGAAAATACTGTCAACATCATTATTTTAACTGAAACTTGGATAAAATCTGAAGAGGAAGCAAAACGTTTTGTGATCCCAAACTACAGCCACTACTATAATTTCAGAAACACAGGAAAAGGTGGTGGTGTATCGATTTTTGTTCATAATGATTTGAAGCACACCCACGTGAGTGACACTTATTTGGATGGTAACCATTTCCTTTGGATACATCTCGAAAAATATTCTATGGAAATTAGAACCGTATATAGAAAACCGGATTCGGATATAAAACAGTTTTTGGATGAATATTCTGCTCAAATATATAAACGCAAAAGAGTAATTATTATTGGTGATTTTAATTTCAATCTACTTTCCAATGATCATGGAACCCTTGCTTATAAAGAAACTTTGCAAGAAAATGGTTACAAAATTATAAATAAGATGGACCCAAAGTTTTGCACTAGGGAAACTGAAACAACCAAAACCATTATTGACCATCTATGTACTAACCTTAATGAAAAATATTTTCACTTTGCTATCCTAGAGTCACCTATTTCAGATCACAAGCAAATATATATTGAGGTTAAAAAATATGAGCCAGCTCCTCTCAGTAAATTACAATATGAAGCTGTAAACTACGCGAAATTGCATACAATTATGTTAAATGACAAACAAACGAATGAATCTAAATCGTATGATAAACTAGAAAAAAGGGTGTTAGACAGTATAAGAAAGAGTGTCATTACTAAAGAAAATATTTTAAACCCACCACGTCAAGACTGGATAAATAAAGAAATAATTGGTTTTATTTTACTTTAATAATTGGTTCGGTTGCCTGGAAGAGATCGCTATGTAGCGATAAGGCCGCCAAATTGTACATGTAATCTGCTCTGTTATGTTCTTTGTAAATTTGTTTGTGGTGTACAATAAAGTATATTCATTCATTCATTCATTCATAAAGAAATAAATACTAGAAATATCCTATGGAAACAATATAAACAGAACCCCAAAAATCTTATTATAAAAAATAAATTTATAGAGAAAAGGCATAAAGTTACAGAAAATATAAAGAAAACTAAAGCCAAATACTACTTTAAAGCATTTAGAAATTGTAAAAATAAACCAGCAAAAATGTGGAGTTTGATTAATAATCTATCAAATAATAAATTGAAGGAAGCAACATTCCCAAGTAAGTTGAAGGATCAAAATGGACTGATACTAACTAATACAGATGAAATCTGCGAATGTTTTAATGAATTCTTCGCCAGTGTTGGCTCGAATTTAGCAAATCAAATAAAAAACCTTACTTAAGCTACAATAATGAAAATGAGGGTAGTTCTGGATTTGACTCGCAAAAACTTAGCCACTTAGCACCAACAACAGTAGATGAAATTTCTGCAATAATTGAAAACCTAAACACTAACACTAGCTCAGGCTTAGACGGTATTAGTCCTAAAGCAATCAAATGCGTCAAAAGTCTTATAATAGAAGAATTAACCGAATGCATTAATAAATGTCTAGAGATTGGAGTGTTCCCTGACAGTCTTAAAATTGCCAAAATAACCCCAATCTACAAATCTGGATCAAAATTAGACCCTGGGAATTACCGTCCGATATCAGTATTACCGGTAATCTCAAAAGTCTTTGAAAGAATTATTTACAATCGGCTTGAAATATTCTTAACGTCAATTAATTTCCTGAGTAAGAAACAATATGGTTTTAGATCAAAATCAAAGATACTATCCGCTACAGTAGACCTTATAACGAAAATAAAGTTGAATTTAGACAAGAAAAAAATTGCACTCGGTGTATTTATAGATCTGAAAAAAAGCCTTTGACACAGTGAGCCACGAGTTTCTATTACATAAACTTGCCAAGATCGGTTTAACAAACAGTGCGTTAGCTATTTTCAAATCTTATTTAAGTAATCGCTAACAAGTAGTAAAAATAGATAAAACACAAAGTTCTTTAGAACATAGCTTTGGTAACGGGGGGGCCCCCTAAAGGGGATATAACCCCTCAAATTTTTTTTTTTTTGGTCAAATTATTTTTTAAAAAAAAAAAAAAAAAAAAAAAATCTATCTGGGGCCCAATACAACCTTCAAAAAAAAAGATATATTTTTTTTTAAAAAAAAAAAAAAAATCTTGGAAAAAAAAAAAAAAAAAAAAAAAAAAATCAAATCCAAGCTGACATCTATAATGGGTATGATAAAGGGTATTGCGCGCTGTCTTCCAGTTTCCGTACGGTATACGATTTATAATACCATTATTAAACCACAAATCGATTATTTAGTAGAAATAAGGGGTAATGCAGCCAAAACTAATATAGCAATATTACAAACTGCCCAAAATAAATTATTAAAAGTATTATTTCATTTCGATTATCTTACACCGACAGATAAACTTTATAAACAAATTAATGTAATGAACATATCACAAACATACGTGTACCAAAATTGTACACTAATTCGGAAAATTTTAAACAAAGAACAAGGTACACACGAATACAACTTTACCAAAAAAATACAACTACACAAAATGAAACTTAGGCGAAACAACGATATTGAATTAATAACACCGCGAACAAATTTCGGTAAAAAATTTATCATGTATGAAGGTTCCCAAATATATAACAAATTTAAGAAAGATAATAAGAGACTAAAGATATAAGAGACTCAAAATCGTGCATTGATTTAAAACATTTAAAAGACTACTTAAGTATCACATATTGAAAGAGTAAGCACACTTATACATATATAAATAATATAATATGTATGTATATATATGAGTATATATATACAAGTTTTGTTGTATAGGGATATATATGTATTAATTTCGTGTTTCAATAACTGGTTTAAATAAATACATAATATCTTAGTTAACATCTGCTTATTCACTAAAAACATCAATTATTTAAGTTACTACAAATAATAAATAATATAAATATTACAACAGCTCATTAAAGATATAAATTTTCATACATGACACTTAATCAGATTTTTCTTGACTATTAAAACTAATCTACCATACTAATAATAACACTTATTTTATGCGAGTCACATCCAGTAATGCTTATCTGTGTAAATCGATATTAAGAAGTCGGCGGCCGAATTCGCACGAAGTGCGACGAGCCATTGCTAAATGTAGGTGGTTTTAAATATTTTGTTTAGCGACAAACAAAATATTTAAAACCACCTACATTTAGTTTTGTATGTCTTCGGTAGTTTTTGTTGTAATTTGCATTATTACCTTGTACGAATAGCCTAAACCAAATTTATATTAAGCTGTAGATATGTAAGTCTCATAAGTGAATGTAAAATTCTTGAGATAATAAAATTTCTTAAACCAGATCTGACAATACTGGTCTCTGTTAAGACAGCAAGCATTGTGTGCGATCTGACCCAAGCGGCTCTCCGTATTGTGTAGAGATGGTGCAGGGAATATGACCTAACCGTTAATCCAAAAAAAACGGTTATAGTAATGTTCACACAAAAACGAATGCTGAATAACTATCATCTTCCAAGTCTTTTCAGCACAAAACTCCAGCTTTCCTCCGAGGTAAAATACCTAGGTCTTACCTTGGACAGTAAACTCAACAGGAACAAACACATAGAAAACAAAATCAGCAAAGCTAGTTTAACTTTCTGGCAATGCAGAAACTTGATTGGCAAATGATGGGGTTTAACGCCAAAAATTATACTGTAGCTGTACAAAACCGTAATTCGGCGCATGATCACATATGGCTCTCTGGTATGGTGGACCAAAACCAATGAAGCCACCACTATACGAAAGCTTCAGCGTTACCAGAGATTGGCTTGTATGGCTGCCACGGGCTGCATAAGGACTACACCAACAGCAGCTTTGGAGGCTATGCTGGAGCTAACACCGCTTCATCTACATATACAACAAGAAGCAACTTTAGCTGCCATTAGACTCAAGACCCTAAATCTTTTAAGTAAGAGTAGAGTCCCCCATACAGATATAATCGATAGAATTTATTCAAAAACTCCTATCTTACAAGCCAAGTATGATAGGATCCCAAAACAATTTGTATTCGATAAGAAGTACAGGATACAATTGAAGGAAACTGACCAGCTGGAAGGAT